CTATAAAGACGCTCTTAAGTAGTAAATCTGACGTCCACAGATGCAGAAACAACTCAACAATTTTGATCCACTGATTAGATTTGGGAGTAAAATACATTTTTCACAAGTTTGAAAAAGAAAAAGAAAATTCAAGTGTCTAAAAGTATTTTGTTTTTCAAATTCATGACTCCAGAGCGACAAATTCACACATTTCACTGCTTTTATCCACTTTTGAAAGATTGTTCCAATTATCTCCTGCACTAGAAGACGTTCGGTGTTGCAGGTGTTAAAATGACATGAAAATCTTTTCTGAGAGTTTTAATATTGTTTTTGTATCCACTAAAAAGGATATTTATCAACAGTAGCTGCAGTATCGTGCGATTTAAATGCATTTAATTTACATTTTGATTTAGCCTCAGATGTGACATCAGATATTAATAAGGATTATATCCTGTCATAGCCAAGGTACCAGATACAAGTGCTTTAGCTTTACAGCTGTGATGTAAAGCTAAAGCACTTGTATGCTTTAGCTTTACATCACAGCTGTAATGTAAAGCTGTGATGTAACACAGCTAAAGCATTAGCTTTAGCTAAAGCTAATGCTTTAGCATCACAGCTAAAGCTAATGCTAAAGCTAATGCTAATCAAGCTAATGCTTGTAGCATCACAGCTAATGTGAGAAACACAGTAACTGACCTCTGTCCCATTTCAAAGCATAAACGTGATATTTGCTCATTTCCATTGTTTGTTTATGTGAAGTGTAAGAAACAGAATGAGTACTGTGAAAAACTATCTACACAACTAAAAGCAACAACTTGAAGTGATTGTTTTCTATGAGTTCATCGCTCTCTCACATCATCTCTCACATCATCGTGAAGCTCTTTGATCCCGCTCGTCTTTTCAGCGTAGCTTTATTTGATCAAACTTGTGGCTATTTGTTCATGAGAAGCTCTCCTAAGGTTGTGCCACAGCATTTGTCTGGACTTGAAGCTTTAGCTGTCGCACAGATGGCCTCACGTTTGGCTCTAGAATAGATTTCCACGGTAGACTGAATGACTGCGAGGTGCCCGGGTCCTGTTGCTACAGAAACAAGCCCAGATCATCACTGGACAGTTGGTATTTGATGTCCGAGTGCTGATGTGCTCTCTTTGTGTTTTGCCAAACATAGCGTGCTGCGCTGCGGACAAATATTCCCCTTTTGGTCTTGCATGTCCAAAGTCATGTGATTCCTACTGGATATCCTTCCAAACAAGCCACACTTGTTTTGCAGGGAGAACGTTAACATTTACATGCTAACTGAGCACTGAAGCTCTCTGAGCTCTGCACAGTCCTCTGATGATTGCTCAGTTAAAATGCATTTGATTAGCAGCACTTGGCTGGGCCTCATCTTATTCATTCCTATGCATGTACTTAGCTTTTCACAGAACCCAGTGAAAACTCTGTTCACCTGCCTTTTTTACAAACTACAGAGGAAAAGGAAAACAGAGTCTCCGTTCGGTTGATCCAAGTAGACGAGTGCTGGTCTGAAGCTAAACTTTCTGATGGTTGTCTCTCTGCGTAGAGCTGTGGTAGGTACGTCTGAGAAAGCACCGAGGCTCCCTGCGTGGGGATTATGTTTGCTGAACTCAAAAAAATCCAGCAACAGTGCATTTAATGAATAATAACAGCATAACGTCTCCTGAAAATGTGATTTCTTCTCCTTTTCTTGCCTCTACTTATGTCTATGAGTAAAATTCTCTTTTTTTTACTCATCTTTTCATCCTGTCTTCATCTTTCGCTGTGTGAGTTCTTCTCATAAGCTGGAAAAGGAGCTTTTAAAGCTTACACGTGGTCTACAGGAGGGGGTGTCACCAGAAACAGACAACTCGAGAGTCGTCTTAAGGAGGGCCTGCACAAAGTTCTGTGAAAAGCCTTGAATATTTAGCTGAATAATTTATATGGTGAGAGCTCGAGAGCAGCTGCTGACACAGGCTTAGCACCGGCGCACAATATGATGGCGTTCATTCGAGGAGTCGTCGATGATTCATGGGCAGGTTGGGAAGCGGTCAGGGAGAGAGCAGGGTAAAGGATTTACACAGTGAGCTTAACGTCCTCAAACACTTGTTTTATAAAAGCTCAATTTCTCCGTGGCATTAAACATATCTCTTCCCAGTGAGGAATGAGAACATTAACTGGGACACGGACACGGTGCACTCTGCGTGGCCCCGCCGAGCCCTCTGAGCTGTAACATTTCACGTCTGAGCTGCGCCCCTTACAAGCTCCCCTGACACCTCGATGTATCACGGGAGGGCTGCGGGAGGTTTGGTTAGGGCAAAAGTTTTATGTGTCTTAAAACCTGACAACAGCTGTGGGCATTTCTATTAAAAAACACACGACTCGGTGTTGGAACTGCACCTTAAGGTGGAAGGTGGGTCTTTATCTAGTGCACCTCGTTCGTTCTCCGTGTTTTTGCAGCTCCAGAGGTGAACGGGAGGCACGAAGGCAGCAAAACAACCGAGGGGGCAACTCATAACAAATGCATGTGGAGGGCGTGCTACAGGGCACTCAACTGTTGAACGATTTTACGGTTATTTTATGTGTTTTATGTTATTTCATGACTAACTTTCTGCTGATTTTTAACTTTAGAAATATTCAATCAAAAGTCCAGTTCATTCAAAAGAAGGAATGCTGCCCCTCCTGCTCATTTGTTTCCTTATGCAGCCTCTGCACCTGCATCACACACCCACACCTTCTGCCATCTGTTCGGCGTTTTCTTGAACTTTACCTTTTGAAGAGAAGGATGAAATATCTTCATGTGAGAAAACGAAAGGTCACACTGACTCAGACAAGTTCATGAGCTGGGTGAACAAACACGTGTACATGAAGTATGTGTAGAAGCGACTGAGTGTAGCACCAGTGTATGTCTCCATAAACAAAGTCCATCTGTCAAGTCATTGCAAAGGGCAACTCTGCATAAACCATTGCCTTAAAAAACCTTGATTACTACATTACCAAGAGTGCAGGCTCAGTCTCTGCCACAGGGCACAAAACACGGAAAAACAGCAAAGAAGAAGCACAATTTTACTGAATGCAAAATTGAAAATATCAGAAAATAAGACGATGTATGATGCAGCTGGTTTATGTTGTTCATTCTGGCCGTTAGTGTATCAGGTTCAACTAGGTCTACGATGTGTTTATGCATGTCTAAAGCACCCGAGTTATAGAGACATAATAATATTTATTTTAA